GACCCGGGAGCCGCGGCGCCCGCAGCCTCCGCCGCCTTCCCACCTGCGCGGGCGCGGACACCTGCGCCGCCTCCCCGCCAAGCAGCTGGCGCACTGGAAACTCCGAGCCTCATCAAGGGCCAGGAGCCTTGAACGCACCACCAGGCACCGCGGGAGGAGTGCCCCACCCTCCCCTGCCCGTACATTTCCCTCTTCGTCTCCTTGGGAGGGCTTCCAAAATCCGCTTTTCAGGAGAGTCTGCCCTCCCCGAACCTTCCCTTCCCTTCCCGTCCTCGACGGGATGCATGGAAGATGGTGGCAAGGCCTACTTGAGGCAATTCCTTCTGCTGCCTTTTGAAAATACTGGAGTGTATAGAGCCACCTAAGATGGGGTTCCCGACCCCCAGTAACACCCCACCCTCCGCTCTGTCCAGGCCCTCTGTTCTCATTGTTCATCTCCCCAGAATCCTCGCTGCTGTTCCTCTTTTTCAAGGAATGAAGAAGTTCCTTTGCTGGCCAAGGAAGTGAAGACAGTCTTAAGAGAGCTTGCCGTCTGCCTTTCTGAAATACTCCCACCAGAGAGTCTGAACTCTCCCCTTCTCCCAGTTTGCTTGAGCACAAAGTGCTTGGTTGCAAGAATCTTCTACCCTGAGCTGTGGGCCCTCCCCCATCTGCACACAGAAGCCCACTCCTGCTGCCAATCTGTGGGACCGAGTTACCCTAGGGTCTCAGAGGACATCCCCCCTGTCAGATGCCATCCAACTACCTACAATGTATCTAGGTAGAGATGCCAGTATTCTTAAAGCTAGTTATCAGCTTTTGGACTCAGACCACATGGGCCTAGAATCCCAGGCAAGGGGCCAGCAGATGGCATGGTGGTTAAGACACTTGACTCCCACGTGGCCAACTGTGGTTTGAGGCCTGGGCCCAGTGGCTTGAGAATCAAACAGGGTGCATGTGCCTGTAGGCCCAAAATCCTGAGAGGAGAGAGAAGGGAAGGCAGCATGGCCACTGCCCTGGGGGTGACTTCTCACATTCCCTCTCTGTCTCTGTCTCTTTCTGGTGAGCGCATGTGTCCGATGGCAAAATCTACAAAAGGAAACCCAGGCAGACCCCCTCTCGCGAGCAGTGCTGGAGGCCATGGGGCCCACCCTGATGTCATGACCTTCCCACTGGCAGGCCACCTGCATCTTACTGCAAGTCCCACCTCTCTCTGCTTCTCTGGCTACCAGCCCCCACTTTGTCACTGCCCAGGGACATGCAGAGGGGCCAGTGGGTGATGTCACTCATTGCAGCCCTGAAGGACCGGGAGAGTCAGGTAGGGGGTGGGGCAGGGTGGTGGCTAGAGCAGGTTAAATCCCACAGCACCCTTCATACCCTCTGCACCCTCTGCAGCCTGGCATTGAATTCCTTCCTTCTCTAGGCTCCCAACAAACCATCCTCATTCTCTGTAAGACTGTCCTGAATACACTCCCCAATGGGACCACACCAGTGTGCGCTCTGGACTCTACTCAGGGTCGGCTTCCGGGTATGACCTCCGGGAACCTCTTATGGGTGTCCCCTCTAAGAGAAGAC